GGTATCGTATCGAAAACAAAATAAGTGGTATCGCCCATCCCTATCGTTCAGCGCGACTGACTGCTTCTTCTTACATTGGCTTATTGGCGACTCGCGTGCGTACATCGCCACCTATGGGGTTGCTCAATTATATTAAACAAAGAGGGACTCTCAAACTGGGAGGAAAAGATAGTAAAAAAAAAAAAAAAAGACATATTTTTGGTAACACCATTGCTTTGAATTTAGTAGGAAAACCCAAACGCCACACTATTTGAAAAGCCTATGTTTTTTGACATTTAATGCCAAGTTAACGCAGTGTGTCATTATATAATTGTACATACATTGTAAAAAAAAAATTTATAAAAAAACTTTTATCTCAATACTTAAATTATTACTCGCGTGCCAAGCCCGCGAAACCGGGCAGCGGGCATATATAAGCCGGGGTCTGTGGCCACCGCGCGCACAGCCTGACTCCCCTTTGAGTGACATCCCCAGCAGTGCGTTTTCTTCAGGTACATTACTTTTTACTTAAATTACTTTTTAAAAGTATGGGCCGACAACAAAAGTAAATGACATTTAAAACTATGGAGAAAGAAAGTAATTCAATTTAATTATAATAAAAACAGTCTGAGGGAACAGTTAGTTTTTCTGAGGGTTATAATACTAAAATAAATAGCAGGCGTTTTCACTCATGAAACCAATTAAATTGTAATAAAATAACTTTTCCGGTAAATGTATCACATCTCACACAGACAACGATTTTCCGTCTTTTTATATAACGTTAGTCCGCTCATCAGCGCCGTTAAACACCGGTAAATGCCGTTACATCGCCGTGACGTCACTGCTAATGGCGCCAATCCGCTCAGTTTGAGAGACGCTCTTTCGTTTCAGAGTTATCTGTCATGTTAACGTTACTTAAAAAGAGACCAATTATACAATTATTCTTAATATCTCCATTATTCATATTTGTATGGAAAGTAGTGAGTTGTCACAGGGTTGACTGCTGGTGCGTGCATCTAGAGAGAGAGAGAGACGAGACTCATAAGCCTCGACACCTTTATAGATTAGATGAAATCCCTCATTTTGTAACAACCATAATAATACTTGTTGTTGTTGCGATTCTCAAGAATGAAAATGCATTTAACTTTGGCTTATTTGTTAGTGGTCTGTAAGGTCTCATCAAATAAACTGCTCTGCATTCTTCTTCTCATCTTGCATTATCAGATAATATTACACATATTCATCAGAGCCTTTATAAACTTTGGGAATTTATAGACTACCATGAAAATAATTATCATCTTCTCTCTTTTTTCCAGTGTCGATTGCCGTCTGATTGTAATTTGTACAGACATATCACACTCATATTTGTTCTTCTTTGTCTGTCTTTTGCTTGTGTCTACAGCAGCTACATACACCACAAAGGCTCTTTTAAGAGCCACATCTCGAGAGCGTCTTTGGCTTTGTAAGTATATATCCTTTGGATGCTTAAAGGAAAACAAATGAAAAAGGCACCAGTGGATTCAAACTCCACCACTTAAACCATCATATCTTGGTAGCGGAAACAAAAATCCCTGAAACTTAAAAAAAAGGAATAATAATAATAATAATCATTAGGAAAAGAATTGGGCCCTGCATAAGGCCCTAAAAAGACTAAACAATTTTGTATATACATAACTATAAAAGATTATTTAGTATTATTCTGGGTCCATCTTAAAAAATATCTTTCAAAATTTGTTCTGATGACACTCACTGTCTCATGACATTAAATTTTGGGCAGATCAAAAATATATTTTTACATTCAATATTGACATTTTGGCCATTCTTACGAGTTTAGTTCTAACACTCATCCAACAATCATCAACTGGTTAGAATTAAGAGATAAAGTTTTCAGGTATCGAGCCCTCCAAAAAAAAGAGGTTGACAACCTCGCCCTTAAATTTTAGTCACAACAAAGTAACTAGTTGAATTAAATGGATAAACTTTATCTAAAATAAGTGACCACACATTTATTAAGTTTTTGCATGCTATTTCTAGGCACACATTTAGGTCCAATACTTTAAACACAATGACAAAACTGACATTACCTGTTATATTGCTTCCCCAATTACAGAAAGTTCTCTACAGTCAACCACACTCACTCAACGACGATATCCACAGTTCACACTCTCGGTCAAAACCAAGGTATGCGTATTTATTGTGATAGAATTATTAGACATTACGCCAGTGGTTCTGAATTCCAATCTTGGGGACCCATAACACTACACATTCTGGATGTCTGTCTCATTTAACATGCTCTATTCGGTTTAAGGGGCTTCTATTATATGATGGGTTGAATCACATGTAAAAGACATCCAAAATGTGCAATGCAAGGGTCTTCCAATACTGGAGTTGAGAACCACTGCATTTGGCTTAGCAGGTTAGTGCAATGCATTCTCTGTGTGTGTGTATGTGTGTGTGTGTTAGTGTGTGTGTGTTAATATCTCAGTACCATGGATTGCAAAAAACTTACTGGACATTGCGAAGGAAGAAAAGCCAAGGCTAAGGTGGACAAACAACTCCAGTCAATGGAAGCATTATCACCATCATCATGGAGGGAGTATGGTGGCATGCACAGTGACACAAGCAGCACCGTTGATGACAACAATGACTTTATGGATGGTTTGTCCCATATCGATGAGCATGAATGTGTCACCATGGCAAGTGCTTCACATAGCAGTGAATCTGACACAGACTCAGACACAGATTCTGAACTGCATCCAAGTTCCCTGAATGATGACTTGGCAACCTGGGCTACAGAACATAAAATAACACATGTGGCACTAAATTCATTACTTAATATCCTCCGCAAGCACGATCTGAATTTGCCAAAAGATGCCAGGACACTATTAGGAACAGTGCGTTCAAATAGAACTGAAGTCCAAAACAAGGCTGGTGGCCAGTACTATCATTTTGGTCTACTGGAATCCATTTCGGGTGTACTCTACAACAACATGGACATTTTGCAGAACATGAGCAATCTGAAGCTCCAGGTGAGCATTGATGGTCTGCCTCTCTACAAGAGTTCAGCAACTCAATTCTGGCCCATTCTTGGAACTGTGCAAAATTTGGTGCAGGAGGAACCTGTGACAATAGGTTTATTTTGTGGTGACAGTAAACCTTACCTCCCTGGATGAGTATCTGGAGGACTTCATCTGTGAAATAAAAGACTTAAGTCATGGTTTTGAATTTGAAGGACTCAAGTTAGCATTGCAGTTTACCTCAATGGTTTGTGAGGCACCTGCACGTGCATTTCTGAAAAAAGTGAAAGGCCATGCAGGCTACCATGGATGCGAAAAGTGCATTCAGGATGGTGTGCACCTGGAGAACAGGGTGACATTCCCTAGAACTGACATGCCTTTTAGAAACAATGACAACTTCAGAAATAAGACTGATCCAGATCACCACCATGGCACCTCACCTCTGGAAGAAACCTCCCTGGATATGGTCTCTGGATTCCCCCTTGATTACATGCACCTTGTGTGTCTTGGTGTCATGAGGCGGCTTCTCCACTTGTGGCTTCGACTGGGTCCTCTAACTTGCAGGCTGTCAGGATTTCAAGCCACTGTGCTGACAGAAAGGTTGGTTGGTGCCAAGAAAAATGTGCCTATGGAATTTGCGCGCAAACCAAGGGCAGTGAGGGAAATAGATCGATGGAAGGCGACTGAGTTTAGACAGTTTTTATTGTACACAGGCCCTGTTATGCTGAAAGACCTACTCAGCACAGAGGTGTACAAAAACTTCCTGCTGTTTTCTGTGGGAATCTTCATCTTGTGCAATAACAGCCTAATTGGTGATCACATCGACTATGCCAATGATATTCTGCGACTTTTTGTCACACACTTTGGACAGCTATACGGCCCAAATTCCTGTCCTACAACATACACGGTCTTTCTTGTACATCTTGCAGAAGATGCAAAACACCACGGTGTCCTCGAAAACTTCAGTGCTTTCCAGTACGAGGATCACCTTAACAACCTGAAGAGACTCCTGCGGAAACCTATATGTCCACGGAGTCAAATTGTGAGAAGGTTCTCAGAAATGCAAAGCTGTAGCAAAAAAAAGGAGAAAAACAACCCACCACTGCTCAGAAAACAACACACAGCTGGCCCTCTACCCGAATGTTTTCATGGATCTTCACAGTACAAAGAAATAAAAACATGCTCTTACACTCTGAAACTGGACCAGGCCAACAGTTTTGTTTACATTGTGTCACGGCTGGGTCAGGAAAGACACACCGTGTGAACGAGGGTTTGGGTCCAAATGCAGGCTTTATTTAAACTGCTGGGGAAAACACAGTAAAAACGGAAAACAAACAGAGCTGAGAACAGATACAGGAATCACTGAAACAAACATTAATCATCCGCGCCGAGTGGCGTGGGGAAGGCGCGTAAATAGCCCTCGGAATCGGCCACAGCTGTGTATGAGTGAGTGTGTGAGTGTGTGCCCAGGTGTGTTGAGTCAAGGTGACGGAAAGGGAGTCCGGGAGGATGGGAGATGGCGACCTCTGGTGGTAAGAGGGAGAACACCAGACGCCAGACCCTGACACATTGATGGAAAAGTTGCAAAGCTGCAAAATATAATTTCAGCGAGGGATGGCATTTATGTGGCCTACACTACCTTCAACAATCATTAACTTTTTTTTGATTATCCCCTTCCATCCTCAGCACTTGGTATTCATCTAGTTGATGGCATCTCAGGACCAACACATTTCTGCAAGTTTGAGAACATTGAGGCGAAAGCTTTCTTAATTCCTTATGACCGTACTTTTGTTTCAGTCCCTCTTTTACACACACACACTAATTCTTATTTTTCCCTTTTGGACTACATACTGTATATTTTGGGTAATTGAATCATGCATATGAACAACTGAAATGTAATAAGTATTGTTACACATTATGGGGCTCTAGGTTGTTGCAGCTAAAACAACAAAAAAACATGTACCTGATAGTGGAGTTCATTGGAGAAGGGAGTACCGGTCCTGTAGCAAAGTCCTGGTACTCAGATGGCCACTCATGGTGGCCTCCATACAAAGACTTGGACCGGTTACTGAAGGGTGTCAGGTCGATGGAGGCACCACAACCAGATAAGGGTTGGACCAAGCATCTACATGAGTAGGGTAAGCAGGTTAAACTACACTTTAAATAAACATTATTAAAACAGATGGCAAAATCAGTAATACATGACATTCCATGGCTTAATGTTTTCATGAATTAAGATCACATACTTTGGTTCTTTCAGCATCTTTTGACAACATTTCCAAAAAATGGAAAAGGGAATCTCAGAATCTGAAGTTTCTATAAAAAAAATTCCCAAGTAAGTTGTAAAAATGCATATTTCACTTTGAAAATAGATCAATAAAGAGCAATATTCAGTCTTCTGAATCTATACAAAATTTATGTGAGTAACATAGATAAATTTAAGTTATTTATTTATAATCTTGAATTCAGCTCTAGCTTTCACATGTCATTCACAATTAGAAACCAGCTATGTTCAGTTTCTAATGTGTCATCAATTGACCCTTCGCAAAGACCCAATGCACCAATGCACCGGCAAACAAGACAGAGCAGGTTACTTTAGGTATGAAACAAAGTCTCAGCTTTAAATTGTTTCATTTTTCAAACAATAAATAGCATTTTGTGGCTCTTTAATGTGTCGTGACAGATCACTGTAGTGCCTCAGTTCAAGCGGCACGTGAACTGATCACCTCTTCCTCTTTACTAGTTACACCATGAAATAAACATGTATGAGCATCATAAGGTATCTTGTTTTAACACAGAAAGATGTCAATACAAAAATTGTTTTAGTCCACCAACGTTAATCCGGTCATTACGCTCCGGTCTGGTTTGTTTGTTGGACTAAAATCGCAGATTTTGCATTATGATTGGTCAGATTGCCTGTCAATCAAACTTCCTGCGAAGGGTCAATTGTGCCAATTTTTTTCCCACATGCAAAGAAAGAATTGTGCCAGATTCAAATAAGAAGTTTATTTATTTTCTTTTTTATTATTATTATATTTTGGCCTTTTCTAAGTTATTGTACGGTGTCAGAAGACTTTTATATAGACCACAGAAAGTAGTATGCAACCTTTTTGGAGTTTGAATTGGGAGAAGAAATTACATTGTACCTAAAAAAAATTATTTCAATTGACAAACATGCCAGTGTTATTACCTATATAATCCAGCTTTGTAAAATAATCTAATTCCCTGATTTTGCTCTTAGAAAGAAAATATTCTCATCAGATAATAAGCCTCATGATCCCCCCCACAAAAAAAAGAAAATTAATAGAGAGAAAGCTCCACCTACACCAAAAGTCCCGCCTGCACCAAAAGTCCTACCCGCACCAAAAGTTCCAACACCCCTAAAACATATCAAGACAAAAGGTAAAAATAAAATAAAACCAGTTAAATGACTGCTAGACATAAGAGTGTGTAACTGCTGAGCGCTATTTTTTTTCAGGTCCTGTTGTACGACCTCTGCTTACATCAAGCAAAGCAGTGAACTCTTTCAGCAATTGTGAGTTTTAAATTTAGAAAACTGATATTTATGGATGTTTTAAGCACTTTGTGCCATGCTCAAGAATGTTCCTTAACTATGGTCAAATCAGCATTTTTTCTTTTACAGGAAAAATTGGCCAAAAAAAGAGATTTAACTCACAATTTAAAGTTACAAATTATTAAATGCCCAGGAGAAAGATGCAACACTATAGCAATTGCAAAATTGAGGTGTGACCATTGGACAAGAAATACTCAATGGTGTAGCAGGGTCACAAAAAACAGGTTGAGAAGAAAATATATCAACTGTATAAGGCTTTAGTAATTAAGGTGAAGGAAGAGGTTTGAAACCACCAGGAACCCTTTAGTCTCCAGTGCCAGCACAAGTACAATATGTCAGGTTTTCAAGCTGTTAGTAAATCTAGTCCATAGTGTATCAGTTTCATGCACTGTCATGGTAGCAAATGCAACTTACCAACTTCACCTTTCTCAGCTCCAGTTGTTCCAGTGAGCTTGTCCAATGAAAATGAGCAAGAGGATGCTTGGGGTGAACACCCATCTAACTTTCAAGGTAAAAGAACATTCATAAACACATGCAGGAAACACATACACTGCAAATTAATATCACTAGGTAACATTACATTTTCTGTACAATCCATCAGAGGACACAATCTCTGAACTGAGACCCTCAAGTACCCACCAGGCAAGAACAAATAGTAAGTAATTTGTATTTTTTAATGGGCAGTTACTACTGCAGAGTGAATTATTATTTATGCACATCTAGCTGTGGATTATCCCACTTATACCAATATCAATTGTCAGCATTAACAAGTTAAAACTGTCATTGATGTAATCAAACTGGATGCAAAAAAAAAAAAAAGCTAAATCAAACTGGACGGATAAATATGATGGTTAGTTACAGCCATTATCTCCACACCACAAGAAGTCGGCTATTTTTGATTTAGTCTAACTCGTGTTACCCCGAAGTACAACTCAAGGGCGTGTGCCAATTTCCACTAATAATTACTAGACCAATTCAATTCTTCACACCAATTAAATACTTTCAAAACGTTCAAATTTTTTTAAAAACTTAAATGTGATCATACATTAAGGCTTACTGCTGCTATTCAAGAACAATTGAAGTCCTGCCTTAATTTAGTCTTCCACATATTCAGTAACTTAAGGTGACAAATTAATTTGGTAACACTTTATAATGAGTATACAGTAAAAGTATTTAAAATCATTATCAAACTATTCGTTTTTATGCAAAAATCACTTTTATAAGATGTTTGAATACAGCTGTGTGGCCGCAGTGTGTGAAAACAACCAGCCTATAATGCTAAAAATCCACACACCCTTGTTTTGTTTTTTTAATTCAGTTTTACTTTCCCTAAATTTAATTTTGTGTTTTTTACTTTTCTGGATCCTGTGATTTACAGTTTAATCCAGTGTAATCGTTGAAACTACGTGCAATCAAATGGATATAGTTAAAAGTTTTTAAACATTAAAATACAATTTTTTAGGCTGATGATACACAGGGGCAACCTTTTTGAGCTTTGTTGCTTGGGCACTTTCCCGTTGAGAATGGGTAACACATTTATATTTGGATACTTTAGATTGGTTGTGGGCCCTGTGTCTCACTTGGTTGCCTGTTGACAGCAACGTTGCCCAAAAAATTGCCCTGTGTATCATCAGCCTATGGCTTTAAGCATGCAGCCATATCTTTAGCAACATCATTTTTATGACGTGTTAGTTTGATCACATTTAAGAGCTTTTTGTGCTTGCAGATGCTTCTGGTGTGAGACGATGGAGCTGCATCACTAATCAATGTACAAATGGCCAGCCTGCAGTCCAGATCTTTCACCCATAGAAAACATTTTTCGCCAACTGAAGCAGAGGCTGAAAAACATATTAGAGATTATCTCCGCTTGGCCCCAGGGAGAATGCCGTCTTAATCAACTTGCTTTTTTGTTGTTTGCTTGTTTGTTTCAGGATTAAAATAATAATATAACATAAATGACTGCTTATTTTCATTACACAGCATGTTGTGTTCTTTCATTCTGAGTGGAAAATACTCGTGTTTAGTTATCATACTTATCATATATGTGTAGACGCATGTATAATCAGTGTAGCTGCAGCTGTTATCAATAGCAGTAAATATGAACGAACGTCTAAAACGTATAATTAAGAACGACGTCTATGCGATGTAAATCAGACGTCTAATAGACGTAACATTCTAATATTTAACGTCTGTAATACGTCCACCGGGTGTCGCTGGAACGTCGGGAAAGGACGTCTATGCGACGTATTCCAGATGAGCAAAAACCCTAAAAAATACGTCTCCCAGACGCAAATGCACACATCGCGCAGACGTCCCCGCGACGTACGTCTGCAAGATGTCTGTAAACATACATTCTAAATCATAAGCATCTTAAAGACATCTAATAGACGTCTATTTGACATCTAAAAGGAAACGTCCTATAGACGTATTGCAGATGAGCAAACTCCCTAAAAAATACGTCTTGCAGATGTAAATGCAGACGTCAAAGAGACGTCTCAGAGATGTATGTGTGCTATCTGGGTTAGTCTTTGCAACTTCAGGGATCTTATCTATGCACAAGCAGCTTGAAATCGCAACATATGACCCCTTTAAGGCGAGGCGCATCTCAAACGAGCAGGCAATACGGAAATAAAACACCTTCAATATTGAGCGACAGGTGAGTCGCGCAACAGCTCACTGCTGAATGGTCGAAACATCTGTCCTAATAATATCATGCTTCTATGCCCATACGCGAAAGACACGCATATTGGAATCGTCTTTACATTATCTAAATGTTTTGTCTGACAAAATTGTGCCACGTAGTCAGTGGCTATAGCTGTGTACGGAGAAAATGATGGATGTGTTTGCCAAGACGACAGCACTGCTCGGATATTAGGAATAAAGTTGCCGTCTTCTCTCTAAAAAATAGCATTGGATGCGGTGTCGTTTTGTTTCTAAGATCATAGGTTTACAAGCACACGGTGCTTAACTTCTTGAGAAGGATCTCTCAGGCGAAATCTGATGTAAACAATGGATAACGTAGGTCTATCTATACATCTTGGCTTTCACACTGTTGTGGACAAACAGTACTGCTGGACGTTTTTTCACTGAACACATTTTATAGACGGTTTACTCAAATGCAACGGGTTGGATTAATCTCGCGATCACCTTTTTATGGTAGAGGTATGAAGTCCAGTTTCGATTTCGCATGCTTTCATTTGCATCCGCGACACAAATTATATTAGTTAACACTGTATAATATTGACGCTAAACCCTTCAGACCGTTCAAAAGACACAATGGCAACATGATACATTAAAGCAGCACTATGTGACTTCTTCTGTGTTCAAAATTTGACAAATGTATATAATGAGCGAGTACATCATGAATTAATCTTGAATTCATTTGTGTTATTCCGAGTCACTACGGTACACTTATAATAAATAAGTACTTATATTTGGACTATTGGAGCCTGGTCACCGCTGCGGAGTAACACATACCTGCGTGAGTCGCCATAGACGTAAACTTAGAGAAGTAGCTCCGGTTAGAATGTTCTTCCGCGGGATGTGTGCGGTTCTGTTTATTAACCGCTAGAGCGCCAAAAGTTACATAGTGCTGCTTTAACACGAACATTAAAGGCAGAGTAAGTGTAATTTTTCAAAAACACTTTAGAAAACTGACTCGGGCCGAATCGCAAAACAAACTGGTAGCCAATCAGCAATAAGGGGCGTGTCTACTCGTGATGTGGAGGAGAGAGAGTTCAGTGCACAGGACGGATATTAGCCGAGAAGAGCGACAGTAAGATAGAGATGGCGGATAAAAAACAAAAGAGGAAAACGTCTGCGGAACGATAAGGCAAGGACCCGTGTAAATATGGGATCAGCTTTCCAGCGCTGGAGAGAACTCAAGGAGCGGAGGACTGCGATCGGACGCCGTTGAAAACCATTTGAAATGTGTGCCAGCACGTCATAAATAGAAACCAGCAGCAGTTTTCTGTCGGGGATTTGTTGCGCCGCGCCGCGCCGCTCACGTCCGATGTAGACACGGTGTAACATGGGTTTTGCTTTGTTTCACAGAACTAACCGTTGCCTGGGTTGCGTACGTATATGTGGGGCGGAGCTATCTAAATAGGGGCAAGACTCTTTTGGGGTAGGGGCGTGTTTGTTTTGGTGATTTCAAATATCAACATTGGCCACCAGAAATCACTTACCCTGCCTTTAATAATAAGGTAAGGTCAAGAGGATATGCTACATTGGCCTGAAGTTACATGTTAAATTCTACACTTTTCACCAAAGTTTGCAGTTAATTAAAGCACATGTAGTTTCTGGTTACGTACAATTCATGCCATTCATTCCAGTTGATTGTTTATTCAATTTCTGTACTGTTTCTAACCTGAATAGCTACTACTTGTTACATAGACTTACTTGATAGTCTATAATAAATCTATAGTCTATATTTATCTATAGTCTAGATAAAGCACTGTTTGTTTCAATTGCATATTTCTTCTGTTGTATTTATCTGTGCTGATGGTTGTCATGAAAAAGAAAATCATTTCATGACCCCCCCAAATATGCAAAAAGCATTAATAGAACAATTCTAAAGCACTGGACACTGAAACTAAATTAAAGTAATCTGTATTGTTTGAAAGTAATACTAATAAAATAATAATAATAGAATTTTCTATTTTGTCATAAGACCTAAAAAAAAGTAGTCTTGGAGTCGCCTAATAAAAATGGGTAATTGTTACAATGAAATGACAAATTCAAAAAAATCATGCAAACTGTTGCCTTTTTTTTCTTGTAGAATTGAAATTATCATAGCGACACAGAAGATCACTGTCTCCGAAATGAGTCTCTGCGAGGAGAAAGCGGAGGAGGATGTTGTTCAATATCAGAACCAGAGAGCAGCATCTCCAGAATCCAGCCGTGTGTCTATGAAGAGTGATGCACCCATAACACAACCCCTTACATTCAGTGGTGAAACAAGGACAAGTAACCCCAGGTGAGGGCATAACCAGTACTGGAGACAAGAAACAGAATTATACCTTTTGTATGTCAGTGATAGCGAGTTGGTGTCACTTTATAATAATGTTAATTTATGAGCCATTTAAAACGGTTAAAAACTATTAATTTAATGACCAATAATGTACATTTGTAGATGATTTTTTTATTTTTCCTAATACCACTGCTTGTGTGGTATTAGTTAACTCTATCAGACATTATAAACAGGGATTGAAATTAACTTTTTCACTCACCAGCCAATTTGTCAAATTAAATATAGCTCAGTCATGACTCGTGAATAACTTTGCCTTCAGAGCGTTGTTACATTGCAGGTCTGTCAGTTCCATCTGAATGTCCATTGGTGCGCTTTCCATATCAGCTGCAACCAAATTGCTAAAAAGTCTTAACTTCTGCAAATCTTCATGCAAAGTTATGCTAAGTTTTTTAGCAAAGTGTGCACTTGAATTTCTGGGACACAATACATAAGAATAAGCTACATTAGCAGCTAAATTAGCTCAGCATGCTAACTCGAAGCTCTCTTCGGCAGCAAGGCAACATCTGCCAAATATTGTCCTATTCTAACAATGATGTATAAATCTCAATTTCGAAATATTGACCCTTATGACTGGTTTTGTGGTCCAGGGTCACATATTATAGCCTAATATATATTTAGTGTGGTCCTATTAATTTTATTCCTTTTTATAGACTTCATTTCAGTTTTTCTCCGTTCACAGAAGCGCTGCAGGTGCGTGATGCGACGATGTGTGAATTCTCATGGTCTGTTGTTTACGCTGATATTCGCGCATATATAGCTAAAAAAAACGAAAGATATTCTAATCTTACTGGTCAGTGATCCACTAATGAGCTTCGGTTGTCGGTCAGGAAAATAACCTAAATGAACAAAATGCTCCACCAGATTTACTATGCTGTGCGCAAGTTCAGGTAACTCAAAAACTTGTGTACACGAGCTGAGACCAGATGTGAGATTTGATCGTCGCCACCGTACATAGTGACAAATTCCAAGTTTTGCATTGAAACAACCGTACGCCCAATTTTCTGTCATACGTTCGTTTCGTAAATGAGGCCCAGTGTCTTTACTGCAAATAAACCCTGGCAAATCTGAGTTTAGCAATCTCCAGTGCAGTATTCTTCTCAAAGAGCTTAGACACTTGCCTGCAGATAAGTGTGCACTTGAATTTCTGGGACACAATACATAAGAATAAGCTACATTAGCAGCTAAATTAGCTCAGCATGCTAACTCGAAGCTCTCTTCGGCAGCAAGGCAACATCTGCCAAATATTGTCCTATTCTAACAATGATGTATAAATCTCAATTTCGAAATATTGACCCTTATGACTGGTTTTGTGGTCCAGGGTCACATATTATAGCCTAATATATATTTAGTGTGGTCCTATTAATTTGATTCCTTTTATAGACTTAATTTCAGTTTTTCTCCGTTCACAGATATTGCATATGCATTTGCATAGACATAATATATGCTATTGCTCTGTGTTATTTTAACATAAATCCTTTTAATTTATCAGGTTAAGAAATCCAAATTACTCCATAAATCAAAGTAAATAAAGACAAGTATCCTTATGACTGGTTTTGTGGTCCAGGGTCACATATTATAGCCTAATATATATTTAGTGTGGTCCTATTAATTTTATTCCTTTTTATAGACTTCATTTCAGTTTTTCTCCGTTCACAGAAGCGCTGCAGGTGCGTGATGCGACGATGTGTGAATTCTCATGGTCTGTTGTTTACGCTGATATTCGCGCATATATAGCTAAAAAAAACGAAAGATATTCTAATCTTACTGGTCAGTGATCCACTAATGAGCTTCGGTTGTCGGTCAGGAAAATAACCTAAATGAACAAAATGCTCCACCAGATTTACTATGCTGTGCGCAAGTTCAGGTAACTCAAAAACTTGTGTACACGAGCTGAGACCAGATGTGAGATTTGATCGTCGCCACCGTACATAGTGACAAATTCCAAGTTTTGCATTGAAACAACCGTACGCCCAATTTTCTGTCATACGTTCGTTTCGTAAATGAGGCCCAGTGTCTTTACTGCAAATAAACCCTGGCAAATCTGAGTTTAGCAATCTCCAGTGCAGTATTCTTCTCAAAGAGCTTAGACACTTGCCTGCAGATTAGCAGCAAATAGCACGTTATAAACTGCAATAAATACAAACATCTTGACTGTAACGATTGTGGGTATTAAATAATAATAACATAATAACACTAACGCAACTTTTGTGCCATTTAAAAAGTCTAATTCTATGTTTATACATGCTTTTTGTTGTTTTAGTAATAAAACATAAATTGGCAATGTTGAAATAGTATTTCATTGTTTAGCTTCTGAGAGAAGCTTCCTGTTTTACCAGTTTTCATTCATGTAGAGCAGGGGTGTCAAACTCATTTTCACTGAGGGCCACTTCAACATTAGGGCCAGTTGTAATTGTAAGACTGTACAAATGTTACTACTCCTTAACATATTGTTAAATAACTGTCTCTTTATTTTATTTTTACTTATTTAAGTTACAAATATTGCATATGCATTTGCATAGACGTAATATATGTTATTGCTCTGTGTTATTTTAACATAAATCCTTTTATTTTATCAGGTTAAGAAATCCAAATTACTCCATAAATCAAAGTAAATAAAGACAAGTATCATCAAACACAGGTCATTACATTAACTTTGTTAAAATCTTTTTTGTTACATTTACGGTGCAACAAATAATTGTGAGCTGCTAAGAACGTGTGACCGATATGGCATTTAAAAAAAACAAATGAGCCCGGTCTCATGAAAGTGCATATAGCACGATTTTCTGTTTCTATTTGGCACGCGATTAATACGCAGAAATTGACTTTGGCGTGCATATGATACGCATGTGTTTGGCGTGCATATGATACACAATCAATGCTTGCAGTAGAAAAAAAGAAGTGGTGGTACTCAACCCCACTCGACCCCACCCAAAAATAAATAAATACAAACTAAAGTACTAAAAAAAGTACTTGACATAATTTGCAATGAATGTATATAGTGCCAAAATAAATTAAATTCATTAATAACTGTTTGCAGTTCAATTCACATTTATTTGGGTAGCACTTTTCATGATACACTGTTGCGAAGCAGCTTTACAGAAAATGAACATTTCTACATTACATTTAGTAGTTTACAGCATTGCACAAGTCAATCTGTGATACCAAACAGGGGACGCCAAAAGACCACTAAATGAGCTATCTTGACCTGACTGATCCGGAAAAACCCCACACCCATAATCCTAACCATTGCGTATCATATGCACACCAAAGTCAATTTATGCGTATAAATAGAACGCCAAATAGAAACTTGTGGTATTAATACGCACTTTCATAATCTACGATATAAAGCTGCATAGATTTTTATTTTAAGACAATCATATGCTCTCGCATAAAATTATGTGGTGGGCCGGAATAGGCCCGCGGGCCTTGAGTTTGACACATGTGATGTAGAGGGTGTTTTAAATTATATAATAAACTTAAAAGGAAAGTAGAGATGATTTATTAGAATCAATACACTGCTAGACCTAGCTTTGGCTACTTATTACTTTAATCATCTACAAAAGATATTAATGTTTAATAAATTATAAGTTCCTTATTAAAGGACTAGTTCAGGGGTAGGCAAGTTCGGTCCTAGAGAGCCGCAGTTCTGCAGAGTTCAGCTCCAACCCTAATCAAATACACCTGAACAAGCTAATCAATGTCTTCAGGATTACTAAGGCTATAGGCAGGTGAGTTTTTTTTTTTCAGGGTTGGAGCTGAACTCTGCAGGACTGTGGCTCTCTAGGACCGAACTTGCCTACCCCTGGACTAGTTCATCCAAAACAGTCCCGTAAAACGATTGATTATTAACTTATTTACTAAAATTTTTATAGTGTGACTCAAAGGATTTCCATTTGAAGAATAAAATTTTTTCTAACAGAACATAAAAAAAGTCTGGGCCTGTATTTAAGCTGTTTATTGTGTCTCAGCTGTATTGAGAATGACACACAGCTTTACTTTCTTTGTGTTGTTCTTCTTGTTTCTGCTGTGTGAATAGGAATGATCAGTCTGCAGAACTGCAGGATTCCCACCGACTAGTAAATGATGCTCTACAGAGAGTAAAAGACCAACACAAAGTCAGCATGAAGAACAAGTATGAGAGCTTATTTGAGGTAATCAAACTACAAAAGAATCAAACCCTCCTGAACAGCATCTACACACTCTACATCATAGAGGGAGAGAGTGGAGGGGTGAATGAAGAACATGAGGTTTTACAGATGGAGAAAACACACAGAACACATCTATTGAACACAAGAACACATCTACAGAACACAATCTACAGTAATGATATCTTTAAACCCTCAACTGAATCAGCATGTGGGACGAAAGACAAAATCAAGACTGTTCTTACTAAAGGCATCGCTGGAATTGGAAAAACCGTCTCTGTGCAGAAGTTCATTCTGGACTGGGCTGAGGGACAAGCCAATCAGGATGTAGATTTCATGTTTGTGCTTCCTTTTCGAGAGCTGAATTTGATTCGAGATCATCAGTACAGTCTTCACAGACTCCTGCTGGACTTTCATCCTGAACTTCAAGATCTCGGCTCCGAGATTTACGAGGAGTGTAAAATTGTGTTCATCTTTGATGGTCTGGATGAAAGCAGAATGACTCTGATGTTTTCAGACGATGAGAAAGTTTCTGCTGTGACTGAGACTTCATCAGTGGGTGTGTTGATATCAAACCTGATGAGAGGAGATCTGCTTTCATCTGCTCTCATCTGGATCACCTCCAGACCAGCAGCAGCCAATCAGATCCCTTCCAAATACATCAACCGTGTGACAGAAATTCAGGGATTTAATGACTCTCAGAAGGAGGAATATTTCAGGAAGAGAATCAGTGATGAGAATCAAGCCAGCAGAATCATCTCACACATCAGAAGAGCAAGAAGCCTCCACATCATGTGCCACATCCCCGTCTTCAGCTGGATCTCATCCACTGTTCTTCAAAAGCTCCTGAAAGAAGATGTGAGTGCAGAAATCCCTCAAACTCTGACTGAAATGTACATCCACTTCCTGCTGATTCAGATAAACATGAGAAATCAGAAGTATACAGAGACAGATACAGAGAAACTCCTGCAGTCCAACAGAGAAATGATTCTGAAACTTGCTGAACTGGCTTTCAATCAGCTGATGAAGGGTAATGTCATATTCTATGAGGAGGACCTGAAAGAGAGCAGCATAGACGGGACTGACACCTCTGTGTATTTTGGGATTTGCACTGAGATCTTTAAGGAGGAATCTGTAATTCATCGAAGAAAGGTCTACAGTTTCATACATCTGAGCTTTCAGGAGTTTCTAGCTGCTTTCTATGTGCTTTACTCCCATCTGATGAAAAACAGGGAGCCATTGCAGTGTTTTCTGGGTGACCAACCTGAGCTGTGTAGATATAAGAGAAAAAGGTACATAGCTATGAGAAACTCTTTGTGTGAGCTACTAATATCAGCAGTTGGTAAAACCCTTCACACTGAAAATGGAAACCTGGATCTTTTTCTGCGGTTCCTGCTGGGCATCTCACTGGAGTCCAATCTAGATCTTTTAAATGAACTACTGTCTTACACAGAGAGCAGCTTAAATAGCATCAAGGGAATTCCTTTGTACATAAAAGATAACATCAAGGGATATGAACATCTTTCAGCCAACAAATGCACGAGTCTGGTCCTCTGTCTGCTGGAAATGAATGATCAGACTCTGTACAGAGAGATTCAGGAGTTGGTGAAATCTGACAAATGCTCATTTTTGCAATTCTCTCCTGCTCACTGCTCAGCGATCGCCTACACACTTCAGATGTCAGAGGAGGTGCTGGATGAGTTTGATCTAATGAAATACAGAACAGCAGATGAGAGTAGATTAAGACTGATACCAGCTGTGATGAACTGCAGAAAAGCTCTGTAAGTACAGTGGTGTAAAGTACTTGAGTAAATGTAATTAGTTACAGTACTTCAAGGGTTAGTTCACCCAAAAATGAAAATTAGCCCATGAATAACTCACTCTTAAGGCATCTTAGGTATATATGACTTTCTTCTTTCCGACGAATCCAGTCGGAGTTATATTAAAAATGGTCTCTGATCTTCCAAGCTGTTTAATGGCAGTCAGCGGGTGTTCCAGTTCATTAGTCCAAAAGAAGTGAAATAAAGCGCATCCATTCATAATAAAAAGTGCCTCACACGGCTCCGGGGGGTGAAAAAAGGCCCTTTTTGCAAGAAAAATAACCATATTTAAAACATAATAATAAATTTAATCTAGCTTGCGCTCACTGTTGTACACGGAAGCAGCTCCGGGCGGATGACGTAAAGGCCTGTTCACACCAAGGACGATAACTACAAAGATAACGATAACGATATAGTTCTTAAAATCGTTCTCAATATTAAAGAATAGCAGAGTTCACACCACAACTATAACGATAAAGACAAAAAGAAACTATATCGTTGGAATCGCTTTCAAAACGATTTTTCTCCAGCTGATGAACGATAAAAAATTGACAGCCAATCCTGCTGTAACGAGCTCGAGAATTTAAAGCGGCAGACGAGCATGCACGTAGAATAAACAGACGATATCATTTGCTGGTGTGGATTCTAATATCATCTTACGTCATCCTCCCGGAGCTGCTTCCATGTACAACTGTTGCCACAGGCTAGATTAAAGTGATTATAACGTTTTGAATAAAGAATATTTTCTTTAAGTTTTATTTTGAGTAACTTTTACTTTTACTTCACTACATTCCAAAGCATAAGATCGTACTTTTTACTTCACTACATTTCATAAAACTTATCGTTACTCCTTATAATATACCACGAGCTCCGAGACGCAGAAGCTGTCTGATTCATGAACGAACTGATTCTTTTCAATGAACCCGTTAAATCGGTTCGCAAATCGCACCAAACGATTCACAAATTGGAATGATCCGATTGCAGTTGTTCTCGAGTCGACAACTCACTGATTCAAATGATCCGTTTAGTGCGAGTCTCCAGTGAACTGAATTCACAAGTAAGAACCGGGAGATCTTGTGAGCGCGCGCGCGTCTGATGCTGTTAAAAGTATAAGTTACTAATGTCGAATTTTAGGATTAATTATTGTAACTGAAAATCATATTTAGGTCAAAGCTGTCAGTTGTTTGTGAACTAAATCTGCAGTAAAGGGTGATCTGTTTAAGCCCACTGAAATGCTTGAATGCAGACACATTAACATCAGAGTCTCTGTTTTAGGTCAAAAACATTAAATAAAATAACTCATGCACGTTCATCTTCTCCGCTGCTGTAACGTTAGCGGTTTTACTAAAATGCTATGCATTTAGCCCTGTGTGACGTCTGTTTTTATATTGTTTGTCAGCACACATAGCCTAAGTTACTATGCATTTGGATCAACTAGCCGAGTAGACAAATATAAATGTTTATTCATAACCATGCTGAAAATAAGTCAATAATGTTAGCTAATGCTAACTGTCTAGCTAACAAGCTTGCTGGTGCTAAATTGAGGTAATTTTTTTTTTAATTAAAGTCCAAATATTTATATTCAACCACCTAGATAGATTACATCTGAGGGAAAAAGAAAGGATGTGATGTTCAGAACATGGTAACTACAGTAATTATTAAAGTGGGTAG